AAGACATTTGGTCAAATGAAATGACACTGAGCCAGTGATAACAGTAACGCCAGCGTGGATGAAGCTGGTGCAGTTCTTTCTTCAAAAAATGAAGGGAGCGCAAAAGAGAAAGCTGCAGCGAGAGCAAAAGGCTGATCATTGAGAAAGAAGAAACAAGAACTGCAAACAAAAACCTATGTTAAAACAAAGAAAAAAGACTTATAGTTTACATGATTACACAAATGATTTGTTTGCAACTTATAGTTTTATTTTTGAAATTTATTTTATTTTGCTTGACTCAGTTTTTTTTTCTTTTAAACTCATAGTTTTGCTTTATTCTGAAAAGTGTTGCTTTATCTTTATGATACAAAACTAATCCCATAATCAAGCACCTCTTCAAAGACACATTTGATTTGATTATTTCAAACGTGTAATATAATAATGAAATGAAACAAGAGAATTATGATACTGTAGAAACGTAAGCATCAAATTGATAAACTAAATATTATTGACACGTATTTAATCCCACCCCTTCTCCCAAAAACTAAATTAACAGTTTTCTTTTAACAAAATATACATCTAAATGTATGTCTACAATATACATTTACAATTATAAATAGATTATATCATTATTACTACAATATATATACATATATATATATATATTAATTTACGTTGCATGTCAAATTTGATAAGACAATTATAAAAGACTATCTTCTTACATCTGACATACAAAATACATTTGTTATTAAAAAACAAAAACATAATAACAACAAATTGTCGTTAATAATAATAATTACATTTCTGTAAGAAAAACATATTTTCATGCATTTTTAGATCGTTAATAACAAGCATTACAATGTCTAAAGAGACTCGCTGTGTATGAGACTCAATACTCGCTGGTTGTACTTTTCAAATCAAATCAAGTTTTATTTATATAGCACATATATAGCTCTGCATCAACCAAACGGCTTGCTGCACCCTCGCTGCGAAGGGGACCCAAGTTCCCATCAGCAAAACACGTGAGTTTGCTATCCTCCAAAATGGTGGAATGAGCTCCCCATTGAAATCAGGACAGCAGATAGCTTGCACACCTTCCAGCGCAGACTGAAAACTCATCTCTTTCGACTCTACTTCGAGCGATAGAATTAATAACAAAGCACTTATATACTAATAAAGGACTGGCTTACCTAAAGCCAGTTGAGTAGCACTTGAAATGTTTTTGCTCTATGAAACCTGATGTACGTATATGATTCTGTTTTCTTCAAGTTTGTATTTTGTTGGTCGAACGCACTTATTGTAAGTCGCTTTGGATAAAAGCGTCACCTAAATGCAATGTAATGTAATGTAATAAACGATTTTTGGTCGAGCCAAAGTGCTGTACATATAATAAAAATAGCCTACAGTAGAGACACTTTACAGCTAATACAATAGCACAGATTGTTCAGAATATCAGTATGAGAAAAAATGACACCCTCTATTCTTAGACCCTCACATCGTACAAGGAAAAACTTCCGGGAAAAACCCACAGTTTAGAGGGAAAAAATGGGAGAAACCTCAGGGAGAGCAACAGAGGAGGGATCCCTCTCCCAGGACAGACAGACGTGCAATCAGTGGCGTTTCTATATGTACAAAAGTGGTGGGGCACAAAAAACTTAGATGTCTATATATAAGCTTCTGCAGTGAGGTTCATGGCTGGTGAGGCACTGGCACTGACTCTTCAGGTTTACACATATTATATTTTGACCTAAATCAAAATATAATATTATTTTCAAAAGCCTCTTTAGTCTGATGCTTCAATTAATTTTAAACAGACAGTTCAACAGAAGGATACCCAAAAAATGTAATTTTATCATTTAAATATTGAATTGTTCTCTCTTAGTAAGATCCCATTTTCAATAAAATTGTGGTCTTACGACTTGAAGATGAAGTCCATTTGCCTATCCGTCTGGACAAAAATCTCTTACTTTTTTGTAAAAGTCCTCCTTATCTTCTTGTAGTTTCAAAAGTCTATCATAAATCTAAATGATGGATTTATGATTCGAAAATTATAAAAGTAGGGTAGACATGTGGATATTATCTGGCTGAACAAAACGTACATTTATCTAACAGCTACGTTTCCCACAGATCTTATTTTGAGCTATTTTCTAAAATCCTATGGAGAAATCTCATTGCTTTTTTGTGGAGGGAAGCCATGCGCAGCTTACTTCCTGGTTTTAGGACGCGTCTCTCTCCTTCTTTTCACCTGCTCTTCACACACTACACTTTTCGCGGCACACGTACTTACAGCCAATCAGCTCTGAATTATGTGAGATGACGTATGGTGGGGATGGCAGCTCTATGCCCCTATGGTCATTATTTGTTGCCACACACATTAAATAGGAAAATACTCTGAGCATGCGCAGTGTAGTTTTTACAGTCACCGTTCACTTAGACAGTGAGAGGGAGGGGCAGGTCGGGTTTTGTCCCACATGGCTCTAAACAAACAGCTCAATAGGCACACACTGTAGATACTAATTAGAAGAACACATACTAAAACAGCAATGTACAGACGAATCAGATGATTAAACATGATCTTAAAATATATTTTATATATATTTTAATTAATTTTTTGCATTTTGTTGTAATCATTATTTTAATACTTTCTGCTGACACTAGGTGGGGCTGTGCCCCTAATGACCAGTCGCCACTGCGTGCAATAGATGCCGTGTGTACATCGAAGAGAAAATACATTTTACAGCAAAGGTAGTCCAAATGTTAGGAAATGCATGTGTCTGTAATAAGAAGATGAATCTACGAAGATGTCAACTACAATCCTGTGGGAGCCTTTAGGGAGGCAGCAAGACGAGACCCAGGCAGGACCGCAGAAGTACTTTTGCAGGCATCCAATTCGCTAGGTGGCGATGTTGCAAAACAACTAGGGTCCTAGGAGTGCAGTCCCAGGAGCGCGGTCCCAGGACTGCGGTCCTGAAACTGCAGTATCCGACCTATGTCTCCGACGCTGCAGCTTCATACTACTGACCAAACCTGCGGCAACTCCATAGTAAGGAAAGTAGCTATTGGCTGTCCCAAAAGTCGCCAGAAGTCCCTAAATGACGTCATCGCCTAATTTGCATATTAGTGGCGGTATTAGTAGTACTATAGTGGTATATATAGTGGTACTATATATTAGTGGTATTAGTGGCATATTAATGGCGGTAAAATAACGTTCCACCCCCTTCAAGGATCCAAACTTGAAACCACCAGAGTAAATCCAGACGACAGTAGATCAGAAATGTCTCTATTAGACAAAGTAGAAAGTGGAAATAGTCGTAGTAGTTTTTAGTATAAATATCCCTTACAATAAAGGCAGTATGCCCGTGTGTCATCTCCAATAAATGGCTTCAACCATCCTTTAAACTCAAGGTTTAATTCCCACTCCTTTCTGTACTTTTGTGAATACAGTTTAGACCTTGACATGATGACCTACGTGGATGTTTAGCTTGTCACAGAGAGGCACACACACAGTGGACGAGGTGATTAAGTGACTGAAGCTGTCTCGACGCGGGAGAGTGTGGCTGTCTCCTCTCTGCTCTGACTGCAGCTGAGCTGCTGCGGGAGGCAACTGTGAGTCTGCGCGCCTGTGAGTACTATGGGAGGGCTGAGGGGCTCACGGCAGATCGTTAACTGCAGAACAATACGTGAGTCTCCAAACACCAGAAAAGTCCCTAATAACACCATTAAAAGTCGCAGAATTTAACGACAAAGTCGCCAAGTTGGCAACACTGCCTGCGAGCAATGCTGGTGGAAAGGCTACTGCCTGAATATGATTAATGAAAGGCAGGTTTTCCTGTAAGTTAAATCATTTACAATTCTTAATATGTTCTTTTCTAAGGTCACATTGTTCTGTTGTCTTATGTAAAAAACATCTTAGTTATAAATGTTTTCTCTTGGATTTATTTGCATTGCATTGGGTATTGAGTTAATCCAAAATTGACAGAAAGTAATGAGGTTACATGTACTGTGTAGTGTATTTTGTTATGAAATAATTGCAATGGGTAACATTGTACAAGTAACTCCCCCGACTCTGATAGTTTACCCTTATAAATGACATCAACAAAAATAAAGAGAACATCCTTTTAGCAGTAATTTACATTTCACTCTCTTCACTTGACTTTCATTGCATTTCTCAAATCAATTCAAAACAAAAACATAATAACTCTAAACGAATCATTTGCAAATCCTTTTAGTATTCTTGTTATGGGTCTAACTGGAACAAAGAGCTTCTTACCTGTTCCTGCCTGCACGAGAATGTAGGTAATGCTTTGGATGTCTGGTTTTATAGGAACCAATTAATTCAGCTCGAAGGCTGTTTTTATGTAGTGATGTTCCAACAGAATCAGAAATCCTTTATTTGTCCTGCAACTGGGACATTTACGGGTGTTACAGCAGCAAAGGTACAGTGCAAAAGGAAAAAGAGTAGAATTACACATCGAATAAAAAAGGCAAGCACATGTTATTGACATCTGTCCATATGAATCAAGAAAAAATAAACTTTTAAAGGGAAAAAGTTAAGGCTAATCCTCTAACTGTATGGTGTGAGTTACTGTAAACACAGTTAAAGAAGATACACATTTGTTTCTAAAAGTACTACATTAAGATTATACGTTACGATATAGAAAATTATTTACATGTAATCTGGATGTACCAAAATACTACGTACAGTATACTTTTACAGAGTAATCAAAATAATCAAATCAAAGAAATGTTACATTTATAATTTGTAGTTCAGGACCATGGACAATGCAGCTTCCTTGCATTGACAGTTCTCTGTGCTGAATTTCTGCTGAGTTTCCTTTGCCTCATTTTTAATTTTGTGAACTGTCTGGTTTAAATGAGTGTGTTGCTGCTTTGATGAAGCCTAATTTGATAAAGTTTCAAATTAATTTCTGAAATATTTCGTTAATAAATATTTCATGAGTAATATAGTTGTCTTCGTCACATTTTATTTGGCATTAGTAAATAATTATGCACATTTACAGATATTTGACATGATATGAGTGATAACACGTGTTATAAGGGCTATTTTGCACAATAGGTGTGCCTTGAGATTTTTACTTGTCCTTTGGTGTGCCTTGGGCACAAAAAGTTTGGGAACCACTGCTCTAGATGAACTCAATCTAACTGGAACAAACAGCTTCTTACCTGTTGCTTCCTGCACCAGCATGTAGGTAATGCTATTGGAATGTCTGGTTTGATGGGAACCGATTCATTCAGCCCGAAGGCTGTTTTTTTAAGGCATTTAGCCATGGAAAAGTTCACTTTAGAATAACAAGCACATACTGTACATCAGTGACCCACAACTGGCGGCCCGCGGGCCACATCCGGCCCGCCCGACATTCTCATCCGGCCCGCACTACGGGGGTGACTGTGGCGTTGGCTGAGTGTTTACTGCGTTCGCCTCCCACCCATTTTATTTTTTTACAACGTCGTGAGTAAGGTGCAGTACCGGAGTCCAACAGAGAGGCAGCAGACTGCGTACTGCGAAACCTTCCCTGCCTTCAAGAAGAAGTGACCCTTCGTTGTGAAGAGTCTGATTTGTGCGCTCCGCTGGGCTACTCCTCTAACTGTATGGGGTGAGTTACTGTAAACACAGTTAAAAGAAGATACACATTTGTTTCTAAAAGTACTACATTAAGATTAAGATTATACGTTACGATATAGAAACTGATTTACATGTAATCTGGATGTACCAAAATACTACGTACAGTATACTTTTGCAGAGTAATCAAAATAATCAAATCAAATATTTGCACTATTGTTCTGGAAAGTGGAAAGCTGTCGAGACTCTAGATCAGTGGTTCCCAAACGGTGTGCCGCGGCACACTGGTGTGCCGTGAGGCAAGTCCGGGTGTGCCGTGGGATTTTGTGACAACCATACGTTATTATTGCAATATACAACTACACAAAAAGAATGATTTTTTAATTTACTATATCAGTACTTTGTAGGTTTATATGTACGTAATCTGCGCGTCCACATCATGTCCACATCTCCACGTGCAGTGCTGCATAAACATGGCTGAGTCAGCGATAACTTTCGAGGGGTGGAGGTATGCCCATTATGTTGAGTTCGTCCGAAGAATAGACAGGAATGTGACGGTGAGGTGCAAACTGTGTCCAGGCCAGAAGCTGTTATCCACTGCTGGAAACACCACGTCAAACCTCAACAAACACCTGCAAAGAACACATGCTAAGGTGAAGCTATCGCACACGCTATTTGTTGTTTGTTTATATCACGCAGTCTGTTCTTCTTCTCTGTCTTCCGGTTGTTGCCTGTTTTGAATGACAAATACACACTACCGCCGCCTGCTGGTAACTAAAGTTATTGCCACTCACGCATGCGCAGTTCGTACGTGCTCGGCGAGTAAAGTAACGAGTTACTTTATGTAGATAGTAACGAAGTAGTGTAATATGTAATATATTAAAACATTTTAGTAACGACCCCATCTCTGGAGTTGGCGTTCTCTACTCTGATTTACATGAAGAACAACAGGAGGTCACGGCTCTCTGTTGAACAGGACTTGCAAGTGGCCCTCTCCTCAGTGCCACCAAGGATTAAACAAATCTGCGCGCCCCGACAGGCACATGTATCTCACTAATTTGTAAATCGGCAACATATTTCCAATAGCACATGTTTCAATGCTGATTGCTGAAATGTTACATTTATAATTTGTAGTTCAGGACCATGGACAATGCAGCTTCCTTGCATTGACAGTTCTCTGTGCTGAATTTCTGCTGAGTTTCCTTTGCCTCATTTTTAATTTTGTGAACTGTCTGGTTTAAATGAGTGTGTTGCTGCTTTGATGAAGCCTAATTTGATAAAGTTTCAAATTAATTTCTGAAATATTTAGTTAATAAATATTTCACGAGTAATATAGTTGTCTTCGTCACATTTTATTTGGCATTAGTAAATAATTATGCACATTTACAGATATTTAACATGATATGAGTGATAACACGTGTTATAAGGGCTATTTTGCACAATAGGTGTGCCTTGAGATTTTTACTTGTCCTTTGGTGTGCCTTGGGCACAAAAAGTTTGGGAACCACTGCTCTAGATGAACTCAATCTAACTGGAACAAACAGCTTCTTACCTGTTGCTTCCTGCACCAGCATGTAGGTAATGCTATTGGAATGTCTGGTTTGATGGGAACCGATTCATTCAGCCCGAAGGCTGTTTTTTTAAGGCATTTAGCCATGGAAAAGTTCACTTTAGAATAACAAGCACATACTGTACATCAGTGACCACCAACTGGCGGCCCGCGGGCCACATCCGGCCCGCCAGACATTCTCATCCGGCCCGCACTATGGGGGTGACTGTGGCGTTGGCTGAGTGGTTACTGCGTTCGCCTCCCACCCATTTTTTTTTTTTACAACGTCGTGAGTAAGGTGCAGTACCGGAGTCCAACAGAGAGGCAGCAGACTGCGTACTGCGAAACCTTCCCTGCCTTCAAGAAGAAGTGACCCTTCGTTGTGAAGAGTCTGATTTGTGCGCTCCGCTGGGCTACTCCTCTAACTGTATGGGGTGAGTTACTGTAAACACAGTTAAAAGAAGATACACATTTGTTTCTAAAAGTACTACATTAAGATTAAGATTATACGTTACGATATAGAAACTGATTTACATGTAATCTGGATGTACCAAAATACTACGTACAGTATACTTTTGCAGAGTAATCAAAATAATCAAATCAAATATTTGCACTATTGTTCTGGAAAGTGGAAAGCTGTCGAGACTCTAGATCAGTGGTTCCCAAACGGTGTGCCGCGGCACACTGGTGTGCCGTGAGGCAAGTCCGGGTGTGCCGTGGGATTTTGTGACAACCATACGTTATTATTGCAATATACAACTACACAAAAATAATTATTTTTTAATTTACTATATCAGTACTTTGTAGGTTTATATGTACGTAATCTGCGCGTCCACATCATGTCCACATCTCCACGTGCAGTGCTGCATAAACATGGCTGAGTCAGCGATAACTTTCGAGGGGTGGAGGTAAGTCCCATTATGTTGAGTTCGTCCGAAGAATAGACAGGAATGTGACGGTGAGGTGCAAACTGTGTCCAGGCCAGAATCTGTTATCCACTGCTGGAAACACCACGTCAAACCTCAACAAACACCTGCAAAGAACACATGCTAAGGTGAAGCTATCGCACACGCTATTTGTTGTTTGTTTATATCACGCAGTCTGTTCTTCTTCTCTGTCTTCCGGTTGTTGCCTGTTTTGAATGACAAATACACACTACCGCCGCCTGCTGGTAACTAAAGTTATTGCCACTCACGCATGCGCAGTTCGTACGTGCTCGGCGAGTAAAGTAACGAGTTACTTTATGTAGATAGTAACGAAGTAGTGTAATATGTAATATATTAAAACATTTTAGTAACGACCCCATCTCTGGAGTTGGCGTTCTCTACTCTGATTTACATGAAGAACAACAGGAGGTCACGGCTCTCTGAACAGGACTTGCGAGTGGCCCTCTCCTCAGTGCCACCAAGGATTACAAAATTCTGCGCGCCCCGACAGGCACATGTATCTCACTAATTTGTAAGTCGGCAACATATTTCCAATAGCACATGTTTCAATGCTGATTGCTGAAATGTTACATTTATAATTTGTAGTTCAGGACCATGGACAATGCAGCTTCCTTGCATTGACAGTTCTCTGTGCTGAATTTCTGCTGAGTTTCCTTTGCCTCATTTTTAATTTTGTGAACTGTCTGGTTTAAATGAGTGTGTTGCTGCTTTGATGAAGCCTAATTTGATAAAGTTTCAAATTAATTTCTGAAATATTTAGTTAATAAATATTTCACGAGTAATATAGTTGTCTTCGTCACATTTTATTTGGCATTAGTAAATAATTATGCACATTTACAGATATTTAACATGATATGAGTGATAACACGTGTTATAAGGGCTATTTTGCACAATAGGTGTGCCTTGAGATTTTTACTTGTCCTTTGGTGTGCCTTGGGCACAAAAAGTTTGGGAACCACTGCTCTAGATGAACTCAATCTAACTGGAACAAACAGCTTCTTACCTGTTGCTTCCTGCACCAGCATGTAGGTAATGCTATTGGAATGTCTGGTTTGATGGGAACCGATTCATTCAGCCCGAAGGCTGTTTTTTTAAGGCATTTAGCCATGGAAAAGTTCACTTTAGAATAACAAGCACATACTGTACATCAGTGACCACCAACTGGCGGCCCGCGGGCCACATCCGGCCCGCCAGACATTCTCATCCGGCCCGCACTATGGGGGTGACTGTGGCGTTGGCTGAGTGGTTACTGCGTTCGCCTCCCACCCATTTTTTTTTTTTACAACGTCGTGAGTAAGGTGCAGTACCGGAGTCCAACAGAGAGGCAGCAGACTGCGTACTGCGAAACCTTCCCTGCCTTCAAGAAGAAGTGACCCTTCGTTGTGAAGAGTCTGATTTGTGCGCTCCGCTGGGCTACTCCTCTAACTGTATGGGGTGAGTTACTGTAAACACAGTTAAAAGAAGATACACATTTGTTTCTAAAAGTACTACATTAAGATTAAGATTATACGTTACGATATAGAAACTGATTTACATGTAATCTGGATGTACCAAAATACTACGTACAGTATACTTTTGCAGAGTAATCAAAATAATCAAATCAAATATTTGCACTATTGTTCTGGAAAGTGGAAAGCTGTCGAGACTCTATGAACTCAATCTAACTGGAACAAACAGCTTCTTACCTGTTGCTTCCTGCACCAGAATGTAGATCATGCTATCGTAACCTCTGGTTTGATGGGAACCGATTCATTCAGCCCGAAGGCTGTTTTTCATGGCATTTATATGGGAAAGTTCACTTTGGAATAACAACGGCAAAAACAATTATTTCTAAAATACATTTTCTTTTTAATGAAGGATCATTATTGCCGTGATTGCTACTAATTTAATAATATTCCAACAGAATCAGAAATCCTTTATTTGTCCCGCAACTGGGACATTTACAGGTGTTACAGCCGCAAAGCTGCAGTGCGAAAATAAAAAGAGTAGACTTGTAGACTAGTAGAAAAGGCATCACATATTTTAATCTTCCCATATGAACAATATATATCTTTCTTTAAGAAAAAGAGCGCGCGGAATTATCTCTAGGCTTGTTTGAGACAAGCGAGACCTGCGCAGAGCTGCGCAATTTCGATCAACGTCTTGCTAGTGCGTTGCATGATGGTTAGTCATTTTGTCCGACTTGCTCTGTGTCACGATCACAGGTACAGATCAGAACCCAATAGCACGACTCAGATACAACCAGTGTATAGCAATGTTCAGTTTATTCAGGTCAGGGACAGGCAGGGTCAAAACCAGTAAATCCGTCAGACAGGCAACCAAAACCAGACAGGGAGCAGGCAGGAACTCGAGATCCGTAAACAGGCAGGCAGGGATAAAAAACCGGGCAGGACAAAAATCTAGGCTAGAATACAACACTCACTGGAGAGCTTGGCGGAAACGACAAGACAATCTGGCAAAGGACAAGTGATAGTGAGGTGGTATAAATACTGTGGAGTGATGAGGGAATGAGTAACAGGTGAGGGGAAGGGCTGGGGAGACCAGGTGAGGGAAGTGAGCTGATTACAAGGGCCTGGAGGAAGGCGGGATCTGAAATGACAGGAGAGTTTAGTTGAGCCACCAAACAAACAATAATAGAAGTGTCTAACTTGTGACACTCTGGAGGCTCGCCTATACATGAGACGTTGAAATCTCGCGGGACAAAGACGCCCGCAGCCTTGAGAGCGAGGCGCGGGGAGGCGGCGCAGTTCCTCTCCACGGGCTGCGGAAGCGAAATGCTTGATGGGAAACGACTCGCTGGTATCTCGATCTGAGCGCTCATTGGTGGTTTTTACCACGTGCTGGTGATGAAACTCTCCAATTGGCTCGGCAAAAGTTTGTTGTTGTTTTGTGTCAGTTTTACGTCGCCCCCTCCATTAACATTTTTCATAATTGTTCACAGCAAATTCGCCAGTTTGAAAATCCTGGTGTTAGAGCTTTTCGGGGTAAAGTGTTGTGGTTTTGGTGTTACATTTAACATGATTAATGTAGAATGATCGAGGGTCGAGTATCTTTCACGACTCAGGTTTATTGTACAGTAAGTCAAGACATTACAGTAGGCAGCAACAACACAACTCGCAGGCTTACTCTGAAGTAAAGCCATCCCTCGCATGCCGTAAAGCATGTCGCAACACTGTCATAACAGCCTTAACTCTGTATGCATTGTATGCATATGTGACATCTCCCCTTTTTCCTAGTTATTTAATTTTAAATAACTGTAAAGAGTTTTGACAGATTAGTCACAGCATCATCCTGTAATAGTAAACAACAGTCAAACTTTGATAGCAAATGTTCATTCAGTCGTACTGACTAACCAAACATGTCCTATGAATACAGGTTAACTTAATGTTGATAAAGATGGGTAACAAATACCTTCAGTAGTGATGTTATAAAATAAAATTCAAGATGCAAGTTTTCTTTTCTAAACATTGCAGCAGTAATATCACATGTGTGCATAACATTCACAATAAACAGACCCAAAATTCAGCAGACTCAGAGTCCACCTGTGTTTCCCTATTCATTTTCTCCCCCCCAAAGGCCATAGGTGTTTTTTTTCATTCACCCCCAGAGGTCATTGTGAAACACCCAAAACACTCCTGTCTACAAGTCCAACCTAGTGGCCGGCTTACTGACACGGCCAGACCTGGTCTGAACACGTCCTGGTGTTGGTGTATGGGTTGTCACCTCACTTGGTTTCAGGGTAACAGTCTCTGGTGTGTTGGCGCTTACAGGCTGGGAAATCGCCACAGCACTCTCTGCTGGTGTTAGTGGGATGTGCTGTGCAGGTCGGGAAGTTGGTTCTGCCCGGAGATGAAGTCGGTTCCGCCGCAGCACTGCACCTCCTTGTGTGTTAATGAGGTAAGACCTCGGAGTAACACACTCTTTTGAGACGATCGCAGGTGTCTTCCAGGACTTCTCGTTGTCGAGCTTGGTGTAGACTGTGTCTCCTGGCTGTAGAGCTGGTAGATGCCTGATAGTTGTGCTTGTTATGTTCACAGAGGTCGAGAGCGATTCTTTTCCACGGACGATCAGGCAGCAGTGTGGAAATAAGCGGCTCCTTTTGTTGAGCCCGCTTCTGCTCCTGGCAGCTCCTGCATATGTTGACAATGTTCTTAATGTCTACAGAGAGCCCCGGCCACCAAACTGATGCATTCGCCCTTTCTCTGCATTTTGAGAGCCCCTGGTGTCCCTCATGTATTTTCTGCAAAACGTCTGCTCTCAGTGACCCCGGAACCACAATCCTGTTTCCTCGTATGACTAAGCCATCAGCTTCCGATAGCTCATTTTTCACTTTGGTGTAGTCCCTGATGTTCAGTGGAACACTGTATTCAGGCCATCCTGCCCTAATCAGCTTGATGACAGCCTGAAGCTCACTGTCGGCTGCTGTCTCTTTTCTGATATTCTCCATTCTCGTTGGAGATGCTGGGATGCCCTGTATCACTGTGGCTACATAGCATGCCACATCTTCTTGAGTGTCAGTCTCTTCCTTTGTATGGGTCTGTGGGTTTCGGGACAGTGTGTCGGCGACAACAAGGGTCTTCCCAGGCACATGCTCTGCTAAAGGTTTGTACCTCATGAGCCTCATTAGTAGACGCTGACATCTCAAGGGGACGTTATCTAGGCTTTGTTTGTTGATCAGTGGCACTAATGGTTTGTGGTCGGTCTCCAGCCTGAACTGATCCAAGCCACATAGATACTTGTCAAACTTCTCACAGGCCCATACGCTAGCCAAGCACTCCTTTTCTATCTGGGCGTAGCGTGTCTCCGCTTCTGTGAGACGCCTCGAACAGTAGGCTACTGGCTTCCACTCCTCTTCATGGAGCTGGAGGAGGACCCCCCCCAGGCCATAGCTACTGGCATCAGCAGACACCGCTGTGGCTTTAGTCACATCATAGAAGACAAGAACCGGTGCTGTGGTCAGCATTGTCTTAATGTTCTCAAAAGCTGACTGCTGTGAGTGACCCCAGGTCCAGATGTTCCTGCTCTTCAGAAGCTCGTACAGTGGTTGACCTATTGTGGAAAGGTTTGGAACGTACCTACCCAGGTAGTTCACCATGCCCAGGACTCTTTTCAGCTCATGGACGTTTCCTGGTGGAGCCAGCTGATGTATGGCTTCAACTTTATCAGGGTCGGGCCTGACTCCTGACTGGTCGATGAGATGTCCCAGAAAGCGTAGCTGGCTTTGTCTGAGGGAGCATTTATCTTTATTGAGTTTTAAGCCTGCTGACTCAACATGCTGTAGTACCTTCTCGAGTCTGGCGTTGTGCTGTTCTGTCGATGTCCCATAGACCAGGATATCGTCCATGAAGACTTCAACGCCTTCCAGCCCCTGCAGAGTCTCTAGCATTTTCCGCTGGAAGATCTCAGGCGCACTGTTTATCCCGAAAAGGTAACCTTTTGAAACAGTACCTGCCAAACGGTGTTATAAAGGTTGTTAATTTACAGCTGACTGGGTGCAGTGGGATTTGCCAGAACCCACTTGCAGCGTCGAGAGAGGAAAACACAGTTGCACCACTTAGCTTTGCAGTTATTTCATCAGAGGTAGGTAAGATGTAGCGCTCTCTTTTTACTGACTCATTTAGTCTTTTCAGGTCCACACAGATCCTGGCTTTGCCTGTGGTTTTCTTTAGAACGGGCACCATAGGAGCACACCATTCAGTTGGCTGTGTTACCTTCTCGATGACACCGTTCTTCTCCATCCTCTGCAGTTCCTCTTTTACCATCTGTAACATTGGGAAGGGCACACGACGTGCTGTATATACTAGGGCTGCGCATCTTCACTGGTCTCACGATTCGATTATCCTGTCAACGATTCGATTCAATTCGATAACCCGATGCATCCCGATGCATCACGATTCATACCAATGCGTTGCATCCTCAATTTTCTATATTACTGCACATGGCTTATTTTTCATCAATGCATACATGCAGTAAATACATATGAACTCTCTTTTTATTATTTAGAAAGTGCTTCAGAAATCAATAACATAAATGTCTTGACATTCATTTATAAACCAAAATAAATGAATTGTATAGGTCTAGCCTCCCTATATCTGTGTGTGAAGTTGTTCCATCCTCAAAAACAAAAAAATAATGCTTCTGCAGTCTAGCTGCAGCTTCTAGCAACGGTGTTCTGTTAAAAAAAGGACACTGAATGTCCTGAATGTGGCATCACACACAGGACTTGACTTGAGTCTGAACACAGCAGACAACAGGAGTATTTACAACAGCATATAACAACTAAAATACTGCATGTGGGTGCACACTTACATTCTCTGTCTTACTGTTACATAAATCCCATGAATGTATGAGATTAAATTAGCTTCATCATATCTCAGTGATTAAGTGAATAATAAAGTTTCTATCGGGTCACTATCAGCCTGTCACTCATTATTTTCAGGGAGGGGGCGGGGTTTGGAGGAACGGAGAGGAGACGGTGATCGCGGAAGCTTTTTTCCTCTTGCCTTCACAAACTTTACACACGTATATATCGTCTGAAAATTGCTAGAGGACATTCATACTTTGCAATCCAAGACTTAATTAAATCCACCAAAAACCTGACATGATTGTAACGCGATTATTTTTGAAAAACATAAATCCCTGTGCCACAGCGAGACGGAGTGATTCAGAGCAGGTCCTTCTGCTGTTGGTTCTGGACTGGTGTTCTTGTGTTGGTGGATAAAGCAGACTGCTCCGTGTTTGGTGTTGCTGTGCCGCTGTCACGTCTGTTCCCTGATCTCTGCGTCACCGACCCATTCGATATTAAAATGACAGGGAAAAAAAACGTTATAGTAAAGCCGCGGCCGGAAAATCAGGAAGCAACGTTACTACACTATAACCGATTATCTTCCGTCACTATATCGAGACCAAATCGTCCACGTCCGCATCGCAATGCATCGTAGAAATGATTATTTTCAACACCCCTAGTATGTACTGCATATGGTTGAGCCCCATCCTTTAATTGGATTTTAACAGGTTCAGTTTTTAGTGTGCCGTGCTCACCATAGGCTTGAAGGTGTTCACTGGTAGTGAATTTCACTTCATCAACACGCCTCACCAGGTTCATCTCCACTGACAAATCCCGGCTGAGTAGGTTTTTGACACTCTGGCCACGGACTACATATGCTTCAAATAGGTAGTTATTTCCCTTGTAACTAACTGTAGCATTAAAGCGTCCCAGACACAACAGTTCACCTCCTGGGCTGTCTAATGGGATGTCAGCTGGTTTCAGTGTTTTTGGTGGAGTGAGTGTGTGAAATGCATCCTCACATAAGACGCTGACATCAGCTCCTGTGTCAATTTTAAATTCCATTGGAGTAGAATCCACCTGGAGCTGTACTGTCCACTGCTCTTTCTCATCTGCACTGCACACTGAGCCTAATAAATAATGGGTCTGCTCAGCCTGTACAGTCCCTGTGACCTCATTCACTGATCTATTGCTGTTTCGGCACACTCTGGCCCAATGTCCTATTTTGTTGCACTTGTGGCATGTAGCTTTAGCTGCAGGACACCCTTCTTCCTTGCTATGCTGTGATTTCCCACATTTCCTTTCACTTCCCCCCCATTTTCTGTCTTTTGACTTGCCTTGATGTTGTTGAGGTTTCCATTTGTTATTTCTTTCTTTGAATCTCACCTCCTGTACAGATCCCATTGTGTCTTCCTGCAGACTCACTTGTGCTGCGACCTCCTCTGACTGCCTGACGGTCCGTATCATCAGTGCTAGTGTTAGTTCCGCCGTCAGCTGCAGTCTGCGCGAGAGCTCTCTGTCTCGTATCTCGACAACGATTCGGTCAAGGATATTCTCATCTCGGCTTACGCCAAACTCACAGTGTTCAGATAGATCATACAGGGCTCGGATGAAACCCTCTGCCTTCTCCCCTGGCCGCTGGACCCGCTGGTGGAAACATGCCCTCTCGTGGATAACGTTCCTCCTCGGGAAAAAGTACTCGTTGAACTTTCCCACCACAATGGCAAAGTCATCGCCGTCTGCTTCTTCGGCAAAAGTGAAAGACTTGAAAATATTTTCTGCCTCGTTGCCCATGGCATAAATCAAGCAGCTCACCTGCACTATCCCGTCATCTTTGTCGAGTTTAGTAGCGAGTCTGTACCGCTCAAAGCGTTGCCTCCATTCTGGCCATTCAGTCGGCTTATCAAACGAAAAGTTCGCTGGGGGATTAAACTTGGCCATTCCGCCGTCTATATTCCTCTACTTTGTCTTGTTTAATTCCTGTGACTCACCGGCCACTTCTGACACCATGTAGAATGATCGAGGGTCGAGTATCTTTCACGACTCAGGTTTATTGTACAGTAAGTCAAGACATTACAGTAGGCAGCAACAACACAACTCGCGGGTTCACTCTGAAGTAAAACAATCCCCCGCATGCCGTAAAGCATGTCGCAACACTGTCATAACAGCCTTAACTCTGTATGCATTGTATGCATATGTGACACTCAGATCTTGTTCTTGAGTAAACGTAGAAGTACCAGAGTGTAGGAATACTATGTTACAGTAAAAGTACTGCATTCAAAATGTTACTCAAGTAAAAGTATAAAAGTATTGTCATCAAAATATAGTTAAAGTAGCGACAGTGAAAGTAGTCACTGTGCAGATTGGTCCATTTCAGAATAATATATATGATATGTTTTATAATGATTGATCATGAAAGTGTTCTCAAAGCTGGTAAAGGTGCAGCTAGTTTGAATGACTTTGTATACTGCAGGGTAGCTGGTGGATTTACTCCAGGTGGAACTAAAGTCTGATTCAACACTTGATTATATTTCACATCATTCATCCAGATCTGAAAGTAACTAAAAGGTATTAAATACATGTAGTGGAGTAGAAATACACCATGTACCACTGAACTGTAGTGGAGTAGAAGAATAAAGTAGCAAAACATTTAAATACTCAAATAAAGTACCAGTATCTCAAAATTGTGCCCAAGTATAGTACTTGTTGAGGTTATGAACTTAGTTACTTAACACCAGTGGCTATTGCGAGCAGGGTCTCTGACAGTTCGATTGGGGACACCTACGGACGCTGGTGGTCGCACCGGGATCCTCGGATTCTCCTCTACCTCGACAGAAACCGTACGGGACGAGAGGACCAGCGCCGGGGTGAAACCGATTGACTTCACGAGATCCAACAAACTCAAAAGGCTTTCCAAATACTCGGTGAGATGTACAGTGTCTAAATTGTTTAAAGTTAAAACGTAATTAAAACCCCATGACATTTATAAGAGGGATCACTCAAAGGTAGGATATTTGAGACTATCCGTCGTAGCCTGGGTTTACGATCAGTTTTTGTGTGATTTTTACTGAGGAACAAATATCACAATCACCGACGGGTGAAAAGGTAGTGTTTGATAACACGGGGTGTTTAGAGTAAACACTTAGCAGCTTTGTCATGGGGGCAAAGCAGAGTGGGGGGCTGGTACACCCTCCCGAGGGTCCGATTATAGATGTCATGCGGGAAAAAACATGGTGAAACAGTCTGTCTAAATTAAATATCTGGACGGAAATGTTCGGATTTCCAAAGGGAGGTTTTTTTTTTTTTTTGAGTAAATTAAAAACAAGAACCTAAAGAATAAATTACAAGAACATGAAGATGGAATGAAGGGTACAAATAAAGTTAAAGTAAAAGACTTATAGGAAGCTGGACACTCACAGAAAGTGTTTATAATACTGGGAGGATGAAGCAGAATGCTGTAAAAGAAGGCAGTTGGCCTTGGGCATTAAAGAAAATATTAAGGTTGAAGATGAATGTGAAGAAAAGAAGGAAAATAAATTATTTCCAAAACCATGTAAACCCCAGACATCTCTGTGTCCTTCCATTGCAGGTCTGAATGACCTCTCCTCGACTGGGTATCCTTTCCCTCCCCCGGGGTACAACCCTGGCAATCCGGCTGGCCCACCTCAACCACCTCCACCGCCACTACAAGCCCTAGCCATGCAGTCCGTCAACTCCAAGCTCGCCACCCCCATCAGCCCCAAGTAGAGGGGGACAACAGCGGGATAAACAAACCCGATGCCCAAGCAGGTGTTTGGGGGACACATCTCAGATAATGCCTTTCTCAACGGACTCACAGACACAGCGCAAGCTACGCAGAATGCTGGCCGCTCACAATACCGAGGGAGAGGCAGAAGAGGTTTTCCGAGGCAGAAGACGAGAAGCAAGACCTTCATTTGACGAAAGATGTTTCAAGTGTGGCAGTGTTGAACATTGGATTATGGGACTGCTCACAGAACACTGTCAGTGGAGGCAGAGGGGGACAGCAAGGACGGGGCCACCATTCACAAAGACTGACCTACACCAGATGGGGAGGAGGGGGCCCGATCGAGCGAGACGGAAATTCAGCCAGCTGCACCAGGGAAGTGACACACACACACACATCATGCTATTGAGTAATTGGAAAATGTAGAAGACATGTCTGTGGTTAAAGAGGGTATATATATATTTGAAATATGACAGTGAAACAGCATTTGAGAAATGTCCCACACTGACTTTGGCTGTCATGGGCGTTGATGTTACATTTTTTTGGTTGATTCTGGGGCTACACATTCTGTGGTAAAAAGGGCAGATTTGCCTGATTGCAAATTTAGTGGTAGATTTATTCACTCAATAGGAGCGGCTGGGGTAACTGTAAAGGAGAAGTTTTTGTATCACTTCAGGGTAAAGATAACGGTGATGATAGTCATCCATTTGCCACATCAGTCAAAAACAGTTTCCTTTTATCATCTGTCTGCCCAATAAATTTACTGGGCAGAGATCTGATTCTCCAGTTCGGCTTGGACCTCATTTTTCCACAAATGAGGGTCTTAAAAGTCCTGCAGCCATCTCCTACGATGGTTAAAAAACTGGCATTTGATGATAAAGAACTGGTGAATGTGTATCAAATGGCTGCTGACATATCCTGATTCTCAGGCGTTGTTGCGTTTGACTGATCAACGTGTTTTTCCACCTGCTGTGTTCATGGAGGCTTTTCATTTGCATTGTACTGCTAACGTTGTTGATGATCCGTGTAAATACTATGATGAGAGTTTTCTGTTAGAATGTGTGAATGATGAGCTCATGCTTAAAACTATTGGAGTTTGCTGCGCAGCGCTGGTTCCTGTTGCACTCACACCCACACAACACAAACTGTGTCAAATCCCAGGGGCGGTCCACACATTTCACTAGCCAGGGGCCCCACTGATAGATAGAGGGATTTGGGTCCAATCGTTAAAGATTGGGAGTCAGTCACTGATTGGGCACCTACACACACAGAATATGTCATGTACTCTATGTCAGGTGACATGTATCAAATGGAAATGTGCGCGAACGTAGCCGTTCTGCGCACATTGCTGTTGGTTGAGGATGATGAGGTAATTCCCATATCTCTGAGCTTCCTGCCGCGCTTTCAGATGTGCCATACTCACTCTGGGCAGCTCACAGATATGACGTGGGTTTAATGTCCACGTTCCGTCCAAATCAACCCCAGTACCCATTGAAACGTGAAGCTGTTGATGGCATTCGGCCAGTGTTTACCTCTCTGCTTAAACAAGGGGTCATTATTCCGTGTAACAATTCCGGTATGCACTCCAGTGTTTCCTGTAAAAAAGATCAGAATCAAACCTGACGAGTGGAGATTTGTCCAGGATTTCTACATGCACGCTCGTCCCAAATCCGTATCTGATTCTTTCCCAAGTTCCAGCCTCTGCAACATTTTTTTTTTTTTTTTTTTTTTACTGTCACAGATCTCTAAAATGCATTTTTCAGTGTTCCTGTACACAAAGACAGTCAATTTTTGTACTAAAGGTATTAAATACATGTAGTGAAGGAGAAGTACACCATGTACCTCTGACTTATGTTCACTGCCAACCTAAAAGTACCTAAAAAATAGTAATCAATAATGTATTGAAAAGTTATTTGGCTGATTGTTTTTATATCGGCTCAGCCAGGTTATATGGGACGCCCAGTCTACGTACACTCTAAAAACAAATGCTTGGCTTAACAAAGAAAATCAAGGCAATAGGTTGCATCGATGGTTATTGAGTTAAGACAACTTCTAATGAAATGTTGTTAAAGCAACAAAGTTATTTGAGTTAGGGGAGAAGGCTTTTCCTCTACAATCAGAGGGGTTTTCAATTACCACTTACTTAATAATTGAAGCATAAACACAAGTTTTAAGTTGATTACTCCAAAAGTTCCAAGTTGTTTTACCGTATGATTTAAATGTAATCTTAAATTGTATGTACTTAATTACCACATGTTGAACATGGACAGATGTTTTTAAGTTGACAACCATTTATAAATTAAGTTGCTCCAAATAATATTGTATTCAATAGGGTTTTTCTCTAAGCTTTTCCAGGTTTTGCCTTTAAAGAAAGAAATTAATTGTTTCCACAACAAAAATATTAGGCAATTCATTTTTTTTTATTTTGAACTGCAGTTGTTTATTTCAACACATGATGTTTCAATCAGGAGAGTTTGAATTTCAAGTTGTATTTGAATGACAAAAGATGACACTCACCTTAATGTCCTTTGTATATTTATATTCGTCTTAACTGTGGGAACTTGTCTAGGCATCTTAAGTGGGAGTGGACTTGAAATCCTTAACTCAAGGTGTAGAACAATTAAGTTATCAAGCCAATTGCATTACTTACTTCAACTTGAATTTAGTTTGAAGTCAATTCACGCAGAAATCAGAGTTCAAATGACACACAATATTAAGTTGATGTAATTACCAACATTATTACGTCAACACAACTTATAAATTAATGTTGCAACTTAAAATGTTTATCTAAATCAATTAACTCACATTTTTATCTTGCAACCAGTGCATTTAATTAAGTGGAGGTGAAAGGTCGCCTGAATTCGGTTTTTAGATGTACAGATCACTCATTTTGAATAAACTTAGTTTTCTTTTCTTTAATTTTTCATCCTCTTGTAGAATGCTATCACGAAACACACATTTGGTTGTTTATAGCATAAAGAACATCTGAGTTAATGTGAGGTGGGGAAATAATCATTTGAGTATGTGCATATAAATATGTAATTTACAACAGCTGTAAGATGTTTGAAAATGCTTGAAAAGTGCTTGAATTTGACTTTGGAAAAGGTGTAAGAACCCTCTTATGCCTTTGCCTGAAGACGGTGACGAACTTCTCATGGTGTGCACACCTAGACCGGACTTAAAAGACGTTCCTCTGACCAACGCTGACCTCATTTTGTATGTTGATGGGTCTGCCTCTCGCGACCAAGGGGGCACTAATCGGGTGGGTTTTTCTGTTGTTTCAGATTCTGCTGTACTCCGTTCCGGACCAATCCCATATCACCTCTCAGCACAAGCAGCAGAGCTCATCGCACTAACTAAAGCCTGAACGTGCACTGCACGTTTGCAGAAGGCAAAACCATGACTATTTACACTGACTCACGCTATGCTTTTGGGGTAGTACACGATTTTGGGGCTATTCGGAAGTGTAGACAATTTCTGACCATGTCTCCCAAGACATTTCTTCCCTCATCTTGCTAAGTTGACACATGGGTTGGATCATGTGTCAAAAGGGGGGATGTTAGAGTCTATCAATCAGGAGTGGTTCACAAGGGGGGTTCACAGTAACAGCTCAGAAGCACTGTGAAGCATGCCTAATTTGCATTACGCAAAATTCTGGTAGACCAGTAAAGGTTACAGGACACGGAGCACATCCACCTCCCACCAGACCATTTGAGCACCTAATGCTGGATTTCATTGAGCTTAGCCCATCAGAGGGTAAGAAGCACTGTCTGGTGGTGGTTGACATGTGGTCCAAATGGGTTGAAGCTTTCCCAGTAAAAGCACAGACAGCAAATGCTGTGGCAAAAGCACTACTGAGGGAAATCATCCCTAGATGGGGACTACCAGACAACATTTCTAGCGACAACGGTTCACATTTTGCTAATGAGGCCATTACACAAATAGGAGAATACCTGGGCATGGACATCAGGAAGCATTGTGCGTATCATCCACAGAGTGGGGGTGCGGTGGAAAGAGAGAACGGCACAATCAAAAAGAAACTAGCAAAATGCTGTGCAGACACAGGTCTGGCATGGACACAAGCTCTGCCCATTGTGCTGATGTACATGCGGATGCGGAAACGAACACGGAGCCAACTCAGCCCGTTTGAAATCCTTTTCGGTGCTCCTCCACAGATTGGACTCAAGGCTCCAGGATGTCCTCTTCCCTCCACAACGTTGTGTGAGGATGCTATGTTGTCATATTGTGTTAACCTGTCATCCACTTTAGCAGATATCCGACGTCAGGTAGCTGCAGCGTTACCTACCCCTACCACTTCTTCACTTCACCATCTCCAACCCGGCGACTTCGTGCTGATCAAGGATTTCCGGAGAAAGAGCTGGAAATCCAATCGTTGGCAAGGTCCCTACCAGGTGCTTCTCGTCACCCAGACAGCGGTCAAGGTCGCCGAGAGAGCTACATGGGTACACGCCAGCCACTGCAAGGTCGTAGTCACAGGGAGGGAGAAACGGAAGCAGACGACAACAAGTGACGTGTCCTAGTCACCAACGAGTAGAAGCAGACGGCAACAAGTGACGTGTCCTAGTCACCAACGAGTAGAAGCAGACGACAACAAGTGACGTGTCCTAGTCACCAACAGGTAGAAACAGACGACGACAAGTGACGTGCCAAGTCACCACCAGCACCACACTCGCACTACATACACCAAACCTCACACGACCAACACGAGGTGCCACAAGCGAGTGCCAGCTGAGTGGTTCCATATGCCCCTGGTTCCTCGTTTGTCGTGCTTTCGGTGTGCGGGGTCTACTTGTCCGTGTCACAGAATCCGAGTGAATACATACACACACCAGATGGAGCATCCCCGCCACGTGATGAGAGCTCGCATGGAAAGACGACTACGTAACCAAAGCGGAAAGTGTGGATGCTACTGGAGAGCCTGGACAATCATAGAACGGTTCCTCTGCATATTTGCCCTGGCGATCATTTTCGGCCTATTAATCAGTTGTACCTGTTTGATTATCCCAATACTGAAGAAGTGCGTTTCCAGCATGGTATCCTCAGCTTTCGTTCAGTATGCTGCTATTTCATTACACGACAATCCTTTGCGCCACAGTGAGATAGACCAGCTAGAATCAGAAGAGTCTGGTTTCGACACTGCAAAATAATCCATGTGAATCGAGTACCCTCCTCCTATGCTTACATTATATCGGAGTCTGTCCTCCACAAAAACAGCCAGTTTTCTATGATATATTTGTGATGTGTTTACTTAAATCAGGAATGGGGTGTAGTCATTGATGTGTTATATCAGTCTATCCTGTCATTTTTATGAGTGATCAAAGTATGATCAAAAGGGGGGAATGTAATGGCAAACTTTATATACGTGTAGTTTATCATTCTTATAGTGCAGACTTTATATTTGACCTTACATGGACACATCAATTGCAGCAGTTCCTAGAATGATGTGTTTTGCTTGTAACCTCTGTCAGCACTTACAACAGTTCCTATAATAATGGTTTGACACTCATGACCTTTTAAAATGTCGGAGTAAGGTCTGGGTGATGTGTTCCAGTTCATGTCCTTTGCCTGCTTTGTGAGTGACATTTTAAGGTCACCTAAGGTCTGAACTTCAGGAGGGGGCTGGGTGCCAAGCACAGGGCAATGGGCAAGTTCCTGTTAGTTTCCCTGTCTTATAATCAAGTTCTCCATTTCTTAGCCCTCCATGTGTTGATGACAAGTTTCCCCACTTCCCCTTTTTGCTGAATGGGTTCCTGGTTCAATCTATTAGTGATTGACAGTTTCAGTTCCTTTGGAAAGCTTATCTCTCCTGCCAGGGCCCCTCCTCATGAAGTGACGGAATGTTGTTGAACTGGCAAGATCCTATATAACCTGTATGCATCTTTCACTCGGGGCACACTCTCTCAGGATACCTTGTGTTCTGTGAGACCTGTGTCTTTGAGGCCTCAAATAAATAACCCAAAAGACAACTCTGTCTGTTTCACCATTTATTGTTTGATATTTCTGACTTGTGTATCTCCACAGTATTGACTAGGTCTAAGATTTCCATAACACTATACAGATAGAAAGACTAAACCAT